TAGTTGATGGAGGACATCAGGACATGACATCATTGTACACCCAGATTAGAAAGAAGTCGGTTGAAACATTCATCCCACTTCAAGGGTGTGGACAGGCATTTTCCAAAAAGGTTATGAAATGAATTGTATTGACCTTGTGCAGGACCAGACACACGATTGACTTCAGGAACCTAGAAATCGATGATTGGGCTATTATAGTTTCTGTTCTTGTCTACCTTTTTCTTCTGTGGTGTCAGGTGAGTGGAGAGGAGCCAGTCCAGGAATGGGAATGAGAGCGAGGGCCAGAATTGGTAACCCTGAGTTTTTAGATGGAGCAAAGAACTAAAATGGGAATAAATAGAAAGGGAGAAAATCTAGGTGTCTCGTCACTGAAGAGGTTGAATCCCTGGGAGGGAGTTGGATTAAAAAAACTCCACCAAAAACACACCTGTAAAGAGAGAGGGAAACCAGAAGGGAAAAACTTGAAAACCTTATCAGTGCTGTTGAACTCCCAGAGAGTCCGTGGCACAGTGCGAGGTACTGTAGGGTAAATATTTGTAGAACATGGAGAAGAAATAGTCCTTTACCTCAAGTGACTTAAGGTTGGCTTCTGGGAGAAACACTTTGGAAGAAAGCCCTTTGGAACGGACTAGGATAAAAAGGGTTCTTTGGAAGAAACATCAGCAATAATAGTAGCAGCTAATATTTATATGGTGCCTACTATGTGCCAGGCACTGTGCTAAATGCTTTACAATTATTATCTCATTTGATCCTCATAATAACCCTGGGAATTAGGTGCCCTTATTATCCTCATTTTACAAATGAGGAAACTGAGGCAAACAAAGGTGACGTAACCTGTTCATAGTCACACAGCTGGTAAGTGTCTGGGGCTGGATTTGAACTCAGATCTTCCTGACTCTAGGCCCTGTCCTCTCCCCACTGTACCACCTAGCTGCCTCTAACAAGGAATCTGGCGATGAGTTTATACTCAGGAATATAAGAATTGATCAAAGCAAAGAAAAACTCTAAACTGTGTGTGAAAAGCTGTAAGAGGATCAATGTATTATAGTGAAATGGGTGTGTTTATCTAAGTGGTTCCTGACTTAATGGATTTATTATATCATCATCTCTCTCTCTGTTTTTCAGTATTCCACTGGCAGGCCACCATCATGGGCCCGGTAGGTACCAGCTGCTAAGCTCCCTGCTTTGGCCTTCCCTTTTCATTTTAAATTTCTGTTTCTTCTTCTAATTGGCATGTGTTTGATGTCTTGTCATTCTAGAATGATAGCCCTTACCAAGGTGGTGTTTTCTTCCTGACTATTCACTTCCCTACAGATTACCCTTTCAAACCGCCAAAGGTAAGGAAGGGTCTCATTGACTTTGGCTGACATTTGTAGACAAAGGAGGACTCGTGATAAGGATTTTAAAGTGGTTCCCTGACACAGCAACAGGGATACTGCATCCATCCCCACAGGGAGAAGCTGGATTAATTTGGGCTGTGGGACAGTTCAGTAGATGGGGGTTTTTATTTCAATCACTGATACTATTTCACATCCTAAAAACGGTTTTTCATAGATGAGGTTACTACTGTAACTAGTACTTCTTTCACCCGGAACAAGGTCAAAGATTTGGGGGGTGGGGGTGGGAGGAGGGGTGCAACAAGCAGCCCAGCCGTGGGTGCTCTGGTGCCTGGAGAGGCAGTGGTCTGGTCCTTGCCTCTGTGGGGGTCTCAGGATTCTGGGAGTGGTGGCCAGGGCGGGGATGGAGGGGACAGAATTGTGCCGCTGGGATGGCTGTCACCCCAGGCAGGAAGCAGGTTCACCTAGGAGGGATTCTGCTCCCCTTCCCTTCCTGTCATCGTTTCCCGGGGGTGAAGCCCCATCTGCCCATACTAGTTACAGTGCTGGTGCAGGTTTCAGCCTGACTGTGTTCCTCATCTCCTCTTCTCTCATCCCCAACTTCAATTGTGTGACCCATTCCTTCACTTACCCTGAAGCTCCCTCCCCAGCCCTTAGCCCTTATCAGTGAAGTATCTGTACTGTGTTGGGCTCTAAGTAGATGTCCTGTTGACATGAGGTATAAGGTCACCAAGAGAGGCATGAAGCTGTCCACGTGCTTTTTCCTTTGGGTCTTCCTAACCGCCAGGCTCTAGAATCTTCCTGCAGATGTGGCCTTTATGGACTTTTCACCATAGGAGATGACGTAAAGCCAGGGTCCAGGACAGTCCCACCCTGAAGCTTCCATTGGCAGACTATTCTGATATGCTGTGAACATGCTTATAATGCCAGAGACTGACATGGGCCTGCAGCTACAGAACTGTGTCTTCTGGCTCTGGGCACAGAGTGTGTTAGCTGTTGGATGGTCTGTGGGCGATAATGTTTTGCAGATTGCTGTTGGGCTCAGCCATGGCATGCTTCAGATATCTTCATATTTATCATAAGCAAGACTTAAGATGTGGTTGCAATTACCTGCTCCTTGGTCTCTCTGCTTGGTATCGAGGGTGACTTCTGTGGGCACCAGTGGAGAAGATGCCCTCTGCCCCAGACGCTGTCAGTGAGCAACCATAGAAATGTAAAACCTTTGTAGATACCTGCCTTCTCTGGCTTTGCCATGTGGTACAGGGGCCGAGATATGAACCCCAGAAACAGCTTGGTTAGATGAAAAATGGTATGTTTTGGTGTCTTGAAGACATGTTGCCTCCACCATTAACCTTGTGCTTCAGATATTGGTTATGATGTTAAATCAATGTGGACTTAACGGTGTGGGGAAAGATAATTGTTCAGCATTTAGCTCTGAAGTGTTTTTGTAGATTGAGACTAAAAAGTGCATATTCCAGCCTGGCTTACTTCTATTTAAGGTAATTTAGTTAAGTAAGTAAATAACATTAGATGCTGCTCAGACTAAGTGACAGGTGATGATTTCAGAGCAGACTGGTCTGTCTTCTGTGCAAGATGAATTTGCTGACTGCCCTGCTCATCAGCATCCAGATAGAATATCTGGCTTCAAGGCAACCCTAATGGAGCTCAGAATTTGTTTGGTTGGGGTTGGGGGAATGAGATGTAGGAGCTGCATTTGCCCAAGGTACCAAAAAACCCCACAACTGTGTTAGTTATTAAGACTTTAAAAACCATATTTCCAGTAGGTTGGCATTAATTTAGCAAAGCAAGCTGAAAGGTGATTAGCTCAATGGTAGGAAGCTGACTGTCAGATCTCTGTTTCTTCCCACAATAGGACAAAATGAAACGTTTCATTAAAGAGCATTGAGAGTACACAGGGAGAACTCACCAGTGATAAAGAGAGTTTTGTCCCTGGGAAGAGACAACAAAGGAGGAGGCCGTGATCTCCACCAAAGGCTCTCATGGGATTAAGCCACGGAGCCCAAGCTTGGTTCCGTGCAGGACTCTGAGCAGCCTCCCAGACACCTGGGCATCGTGGGCATCTCATGCCTATGTCGGTCGCATACCTGCAGGGCCAGGGCACTCACTGCTTCACAGCCCACCCATTGCGTCTTTTGGACAAATCTGACTTTTGGAAAATTCTTCATCATCTTGTTTCTGTAGCTTCTACCCACTGGTCCTAGCTCTAGGCTCAGGAAGTTCTCAGAATAAGCTTAATCCTTCATTAAAACCCTTTGTGGGAGGACTTCAGCCATATCGCATGGGACATTGTTTCCTGACAGGTGTTTTTTACTTGCTGTGTGTCCACTGGACAAGCTGTAGTCTGTCATTGTTCCTTTTTTTTTTTTAAAAAACAATCCTGGATATCTTTTGTTTTTTATAGAAGCAGGATTTCTCCCAGCATCCGTTTTTCTTCTCTCTCTCAGCAGACCACCTCATATAACAAATACTTTTTAAAAATTTAAATTAATGAAATCAATGCCAAGCTGGAAAAAAGGGGGGGGGGAGGAAAAAATCAGCAAAATGGATCAATACATTGAAAAAGGCTGAAAATACATGCAGTATATCACATTGACGGATCTCCCACTTTTCAGAGGCCTCTTCTTACATCTCTTCTTTGGGGCCAGGTTTATTCTTCGTAATTTCGCAGCATTCTCTTGGTTGTGTGGTGGTGGTTACTTTTTCCACTTACATTGTTGTTATTGTGTATGTTGTTTTCTTGACTGTGTATCAGATTGTAGCAATCTTTCCATACCCTTCGGTAGTCTTCATTTTCATTGTTTCTTGTAGCACAGTAATATATCATCATATTCATGTGCCACAATTTGTTTAACCACTCCCCAATTGATGGGATTCTAATTTGTTTCCGATATCTTGCCACCACAAAAAGTGCTTCTATAAGTATTTTGGTGTATATGGGTATTTTCCTCTTATCAGTGACCTTCTCGGGACATAAGCCTGGTAGTAAAATCTCAGGATCCAAGAGTATGGACATTTTAGTTGCTCTATTTGCATAATTCCAAATTGCTTTTCAAAATGATTGGTTTGATTCACAGCTCTGCCAACAATGCATTAGTGTTCCTGTTTTCCCACAACCCCTTCAACATGTAGATGTCTTTCTAAAAGTGAACACAGCACTCTAGGTGTGGTCCAGAGTATGGAACAATTATTGCCTCCTTTATTCAGAATACTATGCCTTTATTAATGAAACCAAAGATTGCATTAGCATGTTTTAGTTTTTTTTTTTTTTTGGCAGCCCTATCGTTAAGCTTTCAGTCAGTCAAAACCCTCTGTCTTTTTTGCATAAACTGCTGTTAAACAAAGAGATTTTGTTGTTGTCATTTTGAAATTTAAGTGTATAGAACATTGCATTTGTTTTTCTGAAATTTGATTTTAGCCTCTCAAGGTTGTAATTCTTTGAAATCCTGATTCTGTCTACTGTGTATTAGCCACCTTTCTTAATTTTGTATCATCCACACATTTGATGTTCATGCTTGCTCTTTCTACATCCTGGTAACTGTTGAGCATTCTTATGTTGGACAAGGCAGGGCCATGGCCATAGCCCCCACAGTGCCTCCAGAGACTTCTCTCCATCTTGGCCTTGATTTCATTAATCAACACTCTGGGCAGGGATGTTCAGCCAACCTCTCGCTCACTGTATCACTGTGTGACCATCCAGTCCACATCCCTACACAAGAATATCAGGAGAGATTTTGTCAGATGTTTGCTAAAAATTCAGATAATAATACTAGCTAACATTTATATAGCACTACCCATGTGCGCACTTGGTGCTAAATGCTTTATAATGATTATTTCATTTGATCCTCACAGCAGCCTTATAAGGTGCTATTATTATTTCCATATTACCAATGAGGAAACTGAGGCAGACAGAAGCAATGTGACTTGCTCAGGGTCACACAGCTAGCTATTCAGTGTCTGAGGTCAGATTTTAACTGGGGTCTTCCTGACTCCAGTGCACTGTGGCGCCCCTTGGATACCCTTAACAGTGTTTCTTTTCTTTTCTTTTTTTTGGGCGAGGCAACTGGGGTTAAGTGACTTGCCCAGAGTCACACAACTAGTAAGTGTTACGTGTCTGAGGCCAGTTTTGAACTCAGCTCCTCCTGACTCCAAGGCTGGTGTGCCACCTAGCTGGCCCCAATAACAGTGTTTAAAGCATTTTCTGGATCTACACCGCTGATAAGCCAACCCAAAGAGGCCAAAGACTTTGGTATGGCTTGTTCTAATCCCTCCTCTTTGTAAGTAGTCAAATAATAATTATTAAAAAATAAAGACACAATTTTAGAATTTTAGCTGAGGATTGATGTCCTTAAGCTGACTGCTGTAAAGTTTCTAGATTTTACAAATCAGGACCTTTGTCCATTTATCTTAGCGTAGTGCTTGGCACATAGTAGGTGCTTAATGGATGCTGATTAATTGATTCTTTGGCACATCTCTCATGTTCTTCACCTTCTTATAATTACCAGCAGCAGTTTTTTTTTTGTTTGTTTTTTTGATTTTTGTCTATACATTTTCCCCTCAATACCTGTAATGTAACTTTTTGCTACCAAGAGATTTAAATTAACTTGAAACACTGAGGCACTATCTTAACCTTTTCCTTCCTGCTTCTGGACTTCATTGCCTCTTAACCCCGCTTTTCAGTTTGGGGGCCATTCTCCTTGATCTAGAAGACAAAAGCGACACAGATATCGAATAATTCAGCATTGTTTCTGTTGTCCGTCTGAGAACAACATACCAGCTGTCCCAAGTAGTGAGTGGGCCTGACCTTTCTTTGTTCTCTTTCTCCCTTCAAATAAACCTTTAAAAGGCACCTTGTTACTATCATAAGACATTTTCTACAAACCTTAGCTCATGCTGGGCATTAGCCTTCCTGACACTGCTCATAGAGGTACCCCTCCCTCCCTCCCTCCTGCTTGTCTGTAGCCTCATGCCCTTGTTTCCATATTTTGAACAGGACTCAAAAACCTGAGTTTATCGAAGAGCTCTTTGAACAGTTTTACCTGTCTTTTTTTTTTTTAATTAAGTTTGTCTTTATCTTCCTTATCCAGATCATTTATGATTATATTGTCAGAATTATTTATTTATTTATTTTTAGAGCTTTCTATCCCCTCTGGTAGCATCTTATCTTCCCTTAACACTTTTATCAGTGGGACAATGATTGTCTTTTTTATGAGTCTAGAAGCAGAGCTTCTTAATCTTTTTTTCACTCATGACCCTTTCAGCACTTCTTAAATTGTGGGTCCTGATCCCATGTGGGGTTGTGACCTACAGTTTAAGAAGCGCTGAACCTGGGTTTAATTAAGAGGGAGGGGAAACCTATCTGTACAAAAATTACTTATGGTTGTTTGTAGTGGCAAAAATCTTTAAACAACCTAAATGTCCAGTGATAAGGGACTGTTCAAACAAATTGTGATATGTCATTACTACTCCTATACCACTGAAAATGGTAAATTTAAGGAACATGAATATAGAAAGATACAAAATAGTGCAAAACAAAGAAATCAGTAAGAGAAACCAGTTTACACCATGAAGTACAATGACAAGTATATAAGATACAGCCACAAATGGGCAAATGGATCAGAAAGGGGACATAGATAGATCTGGAGGGAAAATAGATAAATGTTGTTATTTTCTAGTTCATTAAAATATCTGACATGCTGAGTAGTGGATAGAGAGAGAGCTGAACCTAAAGTCAGAAAGCCCTGGATTCCAGGCTTACTTCTGACATCTTGGGCTTTTTCATCCTGGGTAAATTTCGTAATCTCTCAGTGTTCTAAGAAGGTGCTAGTCTGCTTTGGTAGAAGGAGTTCCCTGTACCAGTGAAGTCACAGAGCTAGTCTCTGTCCCTTGTTAAAGCATTGTGAATAGTTTTGAATACATGTATGTATTACGATAACCAAATAAAGCCTAGGGTATACCTCTGTCTCTGCAAATCCCTTCCGTGGCCAATACAGGCAAAGTATCTCAACGTTCCTGTCACATCACCATCATGAATCATTTCTTCTTTTATTAAGAACAGGAGAAATACTTGCCACTCAGAACCATTTTAGCAGTTTGTACCTTCCTAGAAAAGCAGGAGAAGAGTCAATGAGCTCTCAAGAGATCTCCTAGCTATTGGATCCTGGGGTTGTTAAATTCATAAAACCAGAGGGTGAGAGGATAAAAATCGTCCTTTGAAACACCACAGTCCTTTCCTGTGTTAGAAAGTAAGTTTGGCCATGATCAATTTTCCTGTGGCTTGTAGAACTAGATTCATTGATTTAGAGCAGGGGTTCTTAACCTGAGGTCTAAAGACCCCCAAAGGGGAACTTGGATGGGAAAAGAATTACATTTTTATTTTCACTAACCTCTAACTGAAATTCAGCGTTCCTTTCAATTGTGAATGTAGTCAGCAGGTATCATTCTAAGGGGCTGCTCATCAGCTTCACTTCATACCAGATCCCGCCATGCTTGCTTGCCCGTTGTTGCTGCCAGGGGAGTAGAGGGAAGGGGGCTGAAGGGCCGGGCAGTTCTCCTGAGATGGCAAATGCACCTGCCTTCTGCTCCACTACCCTCCTATTTGACTGCTCAGTTTTAACTGTTACATCGGATATTTCAACATTTTTAATAGATTATTAACTACTATGTTACTTTATGGTCACCTGAGGGAGGCAGAGTGGTCGTGGCACTGTAGAAATTGGACTGGATTTGGAACCAAGTGGACCTGGGTTCGAATCTCTAGGCTGCTGTTGGCCTTGGAGGAGTCAGTTCCTCTCTCTGGCCTCAGTTTCCTCATCTGTAATTTGAATTCAGGGATTCTTCACCTTTTTGGAGGTCCTGGGCCCCTTTGGAAATTTGGTGAGCCCTTCTCAGAATAATGGCTTTAAATGAATAAAATACATGGGATTACAAAGGAAACCAATTATATAAAAATATAGTTATCAGAATATTAAAAAAAAAAAAACAACCAAATTCATGACCTCCAGGCTAAGGATTCCGGGACTGGATCTCTAAGGTCCTTTTCAGTGCTGACTCTATGATCTTCACAAAAGCTCTGTGAGATTGGTAAGGCTTGTGTGCAGAGCTTTTGGATGATTACCCGGGGGTAGGAGAAATAAAGTACTTTGTCCATGGTCCCACAGCTGGTGAGTAGTGGAGCTCCAACCCCAAACTCATAGGATCATAGGGTCAGAACTGGAAGGGATCGTCTGACCTACTTCTGTCAGTTTTACAGATGAGGAAACTGAGGCAGAGAGAAATGAGTCACTTGCCCCAGGTGGTAAAAGTGGCCAAGTGGGGTTTGAACCAAGGCTCCTTGATGTCAAATCTAGTACCATTCCAGTTCCAGTTCTCTTTTTAATACTCTCAGCCCCCCAAGTGTAGGGAGAGCCATGATTAGCTTAAAACGTTTCAGTGATCCATCTTGTATTAAAGTGATTTTGTGCCTGTTTTTATTTCACTTAGAAGAAAAATGGTAGGAATTGCAACGCTCATTTTGTCTATATTTCTTTAGGATAAAATAAGTAAGAGGAAAAAAGAGGAGAAAAACCTAATTCTTATAGATTTCTTTACTGTATTGCCTTGATTTCCTGGTTTTCGCCATGATTGTGATCATTTTTCAGTAGAACTTTATCCTCATAAAAACAACATAGAGTTCCTCTAGCTGTGGTATTCACTGGTTTCTCCCACTCCAAAAGTGTGTTCCCCACAGCCTTCCTGTGTGGTCAGTTGGTCATTCAGGAGGGAGAACATGGCAGGCAATGGGTAAATGTAATTTGGCTTTCCCGAGGGTATTTTGGTGATAGTTCTTAGTCCAGCGTTGAGCCCGTAGTCATGCAGCCTTTTCTTCCTATGTTAGTTATGGTCTCAGTATTAATGAGAACTTCTGGGTCGATGTTTCCCCACTCCTAGGTGTAGGTCTGGCCTATGCATGGACAAGGCGAGCTCCAGCAAATTCAGCTCCCTTTCGGGGGACCCAGGGAGGAGGGTTTATTTCAGGGACCTTGGGGTCCTCTCTGGTTCCCACTTGCCAGATCCCTTGGTTTTATCTACTTTTAAGTAGCGGGACTGCTGCAGAGCAGGAGGGGGAGAAGGATCCCCATCCTGTATTAACCTCCTGCCCATGAGGAGGCCTGAGACCAAATGTGTGGCTGGTGAGAGCTGGGAGTGATATGATGGACACCAAGGCATGCTCTTAGCTACATTCCTGATAGCGCTTTTCATTTTAACTTCACTGTTTCTGCAAATTCAGAAGGTCTGTGATAGCCTCATTCCTAATCTCAGCTTTTGATCTTCTATCCCTCAGGTTGCTTTTACAACCAAAATTTATCATCCCAACATCAACAGCAATGGCAGTATCTGTCTTGACATCCTGAGATCTCAGTGGTCTCCAGCATTAACAGTATCAAAAGGTAAGAATGAAAAAAGGACGTAGGATCGCTGATGGCCATTTGATAGGACATGTCTCAGTAGGACTTGTTGGAAAATTCCATCCATCACCTGCCATTCGATATTCGAGAGCATGGGTCAAAAATGCCTTTCAGAGGCCCTCTGGGGGCTTGGGCAAACTTTGATTTTGGTAAGCCCAATTTAAAGGATTTGTAGAGAAATCAATAGCAGATTGAAATCGAAGTACATTTCTATTCCTCTGGGTGATGAACATCCCTCTTGCTTAAACGTACCAAGGCATGAGAGCGTATCTGTTGAGATGGGGCAAGAATAATTAGAATGTAAGTTATTCTTGATAAAGGCAAATACAGTTATCCCTTCCACATCTCAGTTTTCCGCATTGTGGTTTTGATATATTGCAGGGCAGCATAAGAAATTAAATGGGAATTTTTGGGGAGTTTTGCGGAAGCTGCAGACAACACACAAAGGCCTACAGATGACATGGAAAAAGTTTAGAAACTCAGAAATGCATAAAATATATGTATAGTATTGTATAATATAGCCTATGACCAAATATTTAACCCAAATTTTATCATAAGGTACTGTAAATATCCCATAAAAGAAAAAGAAAAAAAAAATTCAGACTTCTTCTCTGGTATGAAGGGAGGGCCAAAAGTTTTTATGAAGATTTTCCAGATCAAGGGGGTGCCCTGATCTCTGCAATGTGGAAGTAATAACTGTATTGTTAATGAGCTAAAGTGCATTAAAGGTAGGTATGGGGGCAACCAACATGTGACTAAGGATAGATGATTCCTATTAGGAAACATTGAAGCTGTTTGGTCAACAGTAGGATTTGGGTGGGTTGGAGGACTTCCAAGAACCCTAAGAAGAGGCACATTAGCAGATCCAGAGGCAAGCTGATAAGAAAAGGCCTGAAAACCTAGAGTAACTGCTTAGCGGACTTTGTTCAGACGGATAGAAAATTCTTGGAGAAGATGAAGTGATGCTTTTCCTGAATCCAGGGCAAGATAGAACTGCCTTTCTGATGTCTTGGACTAGATGTGCAATAGAGATCTTAAACTCAACATGCCCAAAGCAGAATTCATTCCCCCCACTCCCACCCCCCAGCCCCTTCCCTGTTAGTATAGAGGACATCACTATTCTCCCAGACTCTTGGGCTCCAAACCTAGGAGTCATTTCGGATTCCTCACTGTCTCTCATCTCCCATGTCTAAGATGTTGCCAAAGCCTGTCCATTTCAACTTCATAATACTTCTCGGATATACCCCCTTCTTTCCTGGACACTGCCCCCACCCTGGTGCCGGTCACATTATGTCATGCCTGGACTATTGCAGTAACCTGGGGGTGGGTCTGCCTGCCTCCAGTCTCTCCTCATTCCAATCCATATTCCATTCAGCCACCAACGTGATTCTCCTAAAGCACCCAAGTCACCTGCACATACCTCCTTCACCTCCCACCTCCTACTCAATAAACTCTAGTGGCTGCCTGTTATCTCTAGGAGCAAATATAAAATGCCCTTCACAACCTGCCTCCCCCACCTTTCCAGTCCTCTTACACCTTACCCTTGAAATGTCGTCTTCAATCCAGTGACCCTGGCCTCCTAGCTGTCCCGCCAACAAGACCCTCCATCTCTCAGATCTGTGCGTGTTCTGCCTGTCTTCTGTGCCTGGAATGCTTTCCCTCCTCTTTCCTCCTCTCTGTGTGTGTGTGTGTGTGTGTGTGTGTGTGTGTGTGTGTGTGTGTGT